TGTTCTCGTTTGAGGAGGCATCATGCTTGGTAGTCGTACAGACCTTCACATCTTCGACGCAGGTTCAGTCAACGGGACCCGTTATTGTAACGAGATTCTTCTTCCATATGTGCGTCTTTTTAGAGGCGCTCTGGGTCCGCATTTCCTTTTCATGGACGACAATGCACCATGTCATCGCACGGTAGCTGCCGAACAGCTCTTAGAGAGTGAGGATATTGAACGTATGGATTGGCCGACACGATCTCCGGATCTCACTCCCATCGAGCATGTATGGGATTTTCTAGGCAGATGCTTGGCAGCTCGTACCTTACCACCAGTAACGATTCCGGAGCTTCGATTGGCGCTGCAAGACGAATGGGCAGCAATGCCTCAACAACTCATTGACACCCTCATTCTCAGCATGGGCAGACGCTGTGAAACCTGCCTAGCAGTCAGGGGAGATCATATCTCCTATTAAAGACCGGATGTTTCTTGCTGGACACCCATCACAGGGATGTTTCGGCCTTCAGTCGCATTGCGCTCCATGCTATTTTTTCAATAAAGCTTCTTTTTATCCCTCTGATTTCTCTTTTAGTAAGTGTTGCTTACATTACTCATGTCCTTACGTATTGGGGATCTTATGGTATTAAATGTGTTGATTTGGAAAGCTTTTGTACAAAGTTATATTGAAAAACCGTCTCGTCCTTAATTTTTGCACACCAGTGTACATTAAGTCTATATGAAATGTTAAGGATTATGTCCACAAACTGGCGCCTTCCGCTTTTTAAAGTAACAAACGTCGTTCAGGGTTTAAAAAATAATTTCGATAAAAGGTATTTGCATTAGTTCTTTGGAAGTCGAAGATTTTTCCTGAAAGGTAAATTATATAAATAATATTAATTTAGTTGAAGTACCTTAATTTTTATTAAGGTAATATTAATTTAGTTTCTATGTCAATATATCTAAAACACTGAGAAATGCAGTACCGTACCTACTAAGGCCAATACAGTAATCGATATATCTTTACTTATGTCCAAGCATAAGAATAAAACATTTAATACCTTTTTTAAAACATTTTTGACTGGAAAGAAAAAGAATTCCGATAATTATGACCTCTGGTGGCAGCATGGGGTTGTGACATTACTTTTCGTTCCTTGTATAAAACAGGATATAATATTTAAAAATTTTTACATGTGTGCAAAATAAATATAATAACTTATGAAATATATTCACCCCTTCCTTTGTCTCCTGACCTTTTCCAGAATATCTCAAAAGTTTTAGCTGAACAAAAATAATGTTCAAACATTCTTTATAAATCTAAACTAAACTCAGTGGCGCAACATCCCTAGTGGGCAATCAGCCCTAGTGGGCCAAGGCCAGCAGTGCCCCGAAATCTGCTTTCTTGACCGTGGACCCAGGAGTGCGTAAGCATATGCGCTGAACAAGTGGTCATTTTGGTCGCAGGATACCTAGAAAGACTGAGTCGACCTTGCCCAGTTCGGGGATCGAACCCCGGACCTGGGGTGCTGCTGCGCGATGCGGTAGCCACCGCGCCACCGGGCCTCTTTATAAATCACTTTAAAACAGGCTAATCAAAGAATATCTGTTAATTGCATATAAAGAATATCACCATTCAGTCATCACATAGCTGGTGCATATTTTATTACTTATATTTCTTTGTATAACAAAATGTGAAAAGTTTTCAAAAGGACTACTATATACTTTTACACTGACACTTTATAAAAATACACATTCAAAAATCCTTCTTAGATAAATCATATATTAAAGTTTCAATAAATATAGGAATTCTTATTCATTTAGTATTAAATATTTCTTGTTTCCTGATATTTCTAGCGATGCTAGATAAATGTAATCATTTTGCTAAGATTTCATTTGATAGTGTTTCTTTTATAACGTACGCATTTTGTACTCTATAGTAATTCTCAAACCTGCTTTGCATTATTATTTTATTTTTACAACTTTTTAAGTAAGCACTAAATTTTTAAATGATTCGAGATAATTGCTTGAAGCATTTTGAAATAATTTTAGCTGATCGAAGATTTTACTGATGTATTCTATTGTTTTAGTTTTCTTAATTCTTTTTATAACCTTAAATGAATTTTCTTCCTTTTATCCTTTCTTAATTTCTATGTCAAGCTACTCAACGCTTATTTTCAAATTAATTTAATGTACAAATGTGACTGTATGACTGAATTTAGTTTCTATGTCAATATATCCGAAACAGTGAGAAATGCAATACCGTACCTACCAAGACCAATACAGTAATCGATATATCTTTACTTAGCAACATGCCTTATAATAAATAATTCAATCTAACTTTCTGTGATACAAAAAAGAAGAAAAAACAAACATGTAAAATATATTACTTTATCTAAATGGACAAAGTCATTTGTGAATATTATTAAGCTAACGATGGATATGTATGAACTCTCATGTCTAATTATAGCATTATAAAGCACTACATTTCTTCCAATAGTCAGCCATTAAATATGAATATCACATAGTATCAAGCAACCAAAGTACTATTTTTTTAAATCAGAATATATTTTAAAAACTTTTATCTCTGCTTCATTCTTTTTTATACAATTATTTCTATACATAAGCATTTTAATCCATGAAAATTGAACAATGAAGTTATTCAAGTATATGGAGTAAAGGACTGTCGAGAGCCAAAAGGTAGCAGCATGTCTGTGCTTCTACCTGCCCCATTTCGTTTAAAATTTTATATTTCAAATTTAAAAAACAATTCTCAGTATTTTCTTTATTAGACTCTCCGGGGGATTCTTTTTACAACTTCTGAAATCAGCCATACCCTTGCACTCTCTCTCTCTCTTTCTGTAGGTTTGATCACTTTATATCTAGTTTTTATCACTTAAAAATTATTCACATTTACCTAACGGACATAAAATGGAACCAGGGTCTTGCAACTTTATAAAACGATATTGAAAAAGAATACACAAGGCAGATGTAAAACAACAGTTATAAGTTGTTTTCCACATTTATGTAGTGGAATTAGTTCTTAAATTGTTAGTACAGTAACTAAAGAGTTTCGAATTTTTCGCAACTATTTACATGTTAAGCTATTTTCAAGAAAAGAATACATTTTATGTTCGGAAGAAAATATCAATGTAACCAAATCCTTAATGTTTATCTAGCACCTTTAATTTCACTCACCGGTTTCTCCGAGAATTTTTGAGGATAACCATTGAGTAGATTTAAATCCTTCGAGTGTCAGTAGCAGAAGATATGTATTTTTATTCCCAGCAGCACTAGATAATTCATCACAATAATAAATATCTATTCTTAACATCATATCTTCCTATTTCTTCGAGACATAAGTATTTTGAAGTTAAAGATATTAAAAACCTAGTCAACGAGAAAGAAAGGACTCCTGTAACGTTTGTCAAATAATGTTCAACAGATACATTTAAACGATGTACATTTTATCGTATAAAAGTTTTCTACAACATTTTAATTTTAAATGTTTATTCCCTGGCTTCAATCTTAAATAGCTTAACTTTTATTATATACTTTGCGAACTTTTTTTTAACTTTTGTATTTTTAATGTCTTTAGTCTAATTAGTTTCATTCCCTGTGAAATAGTTCATCCACGGTTGGAATATAAATGCTTCATTTATAGCGGTTCTTATCTTTTTTCTGAAATTTATGTAGTAAAATTCTTCGAAGGATTGCGCTAATTTTTAATGACTTGAGATGAATAAAATTATTTTTAATTCAAATAAAAAAGATCTCTATTGACATCAAAATTTGAAATTTTTACTTACTTTAATCTATTGTTAAATTCCTTGAAAACGCCGACATAATTTGCTCACTTCCCCAATTCTGCCATCAAGGAATATAAATTTTATCCTCTCATTAGTTGTGCCTAAATTGTGTACATGAAAGTTGTTTAAAATTTACACTGCAACATGAAAAAAGTTCAGAATTTACAAAAAGCCCAAAAAAAATTACATATTGCTGTTAAAAAAGAAAACAAAGCAAAAGATGAAAGACAAAAATGGGTAAAGTTTTTATAGTATACTAAAATTTTCAATTAATTAGAAAATAAGCTACTTTGCAATAATTATTTACTTATGAAATTACTAGATATGTGTAAAATTCAAGTTTACTATTTGGAAAAAATAATGCCTATATAAGGCGGAAAAACAAATTTTGAAAATATGAATTGGAAACAGAATATCCTGAAAAACAAACAAAAATCAAAAATATTTTTGGACAAATCAGAAGCATTTACTTCCTAAAAGCACATATTAAAAATACAATGCCACACCACTACTTGTTTTAATTTCTTCTGTAAAATAGTCTTTGTTTTCCGGTAGAACGTATTTGTTTCTTTTGAAACAAAACAGAAAAAGTCAAAGTTATCAAAAATTACTGTACTGAAATCCAGCATTATGTTACATTGAATTACATACATAGACTAAACTAAATGTCTCTGCTTTTATGCGATGGTTTCATCTTCTTAAGAACAAAAGATAGAGGATTAGTTTGATGTTCATTGAGGCTTTCAGCATAAATGCTCTGCTGCAATTATCTATTACGTAATAAATTTGATATCTCGCCCTTTTATCACACACTGCAGGACGCCTATTCTGAAAGCCTCAAATTGTGCCCTAAACTGTGATGTATTTCAATGGCTTAATCCCCAAATCAACAACTGTCTGTTGGATGAATCGATAATCTGTCCGCGAAGAAGACAAATAAATAAACATGGCGTTTATACATTCGGTGGTATGATCGTGAGATATTCTAGCCGCAACATTAAATTATATCATCCAGTACGAGAATTCGATTTTTCGCATTGTAATAAGGAATTACTAACGATATGACTGTAACATATTAAAAATAGTTACCACCTGATTTTACAAACGCCCTGTCAATGGTTTTAGTACTGAAAATTATGGCAGCATTTCAGTGAATGGTACTGCTGCTGCAAGAGGCGACATTTTAATGATGCAAGCATTTTACCTCTACCGTAGCCTCTTGGGCATGCATTTGTTCGGAGGTAGATTTTGCAGACGGGGAGATGGTCGCGGTATGTGCACATGTGAGGAATTGCAGAAGCCAGATGCCTACTGCCATTGCGACAGAATGAATTTCGACAATTTTCTCTGGGCGACGGTTACAGTGTTTCAGGTAAGATTAAGAAGAAGCAGCTGATTTTTTTCTAATATGCAAATGGCATGTTTTGTATGTATATATAATGGTCTTTGTTACTGCTCATGAAGGACTTTATCATAAACGCATATTTATACGTACATCTAAGCATAAATACTTACTTTACAGAGTTTAATATCAACCTGTTCCTGAAGACACACATACGAATATAAGAAATAATTATCATTCTTTTTTGATAAATATAGGACATCTTTTGTAAAATTCTCAATCCCGTCCACGTACCATGTGTATTTATTTTGTTATTTGGCGATACATAAATATCTTTCAGATTTCTTATATCTGCTAGCTGTGGTGAAATCGCAGCATAAAACTGTAAATATCAAAAGCTCATACCCCACTCGGGATCTGCTCTTCGAAACGATCAGCTTGCGATAATGACAGAGTTAGCCATTTATCAAATTTAATCATGTAACGCGTAGCGATTTTATCATTTACCATAAAAACGTATTATCTGAACTTAATGTAGCCATCTGTAATAATTGCTTTTATTTGACTATTTCAAATTCCTGTGCCCAGTTTTCTTGTTTTATAAAATTTAGAAAAATGTTGAAATATTGATAAAAAGTTAAGACATGTAAATTATATTCATAGTTCATTTATAAAAAACTACGATGCATAATATTGAAAAGTTACGTCTCATTAATTTATATTGAAATTTTCGTATGTGTTGTTAAATTATAGACTATTTTTTATAAAGGTGAAAACGTTTTTAATGTATTATGAAAAGTTTTTTTATCAAATTTAAAATTAAATCAACTGTAATGCGAATATTTCTTTACTTAGTTATTGCGCTCTAATATATACAATGATAATTTATTGTCAATATTTTAACATTGAAAGATTAAAGCGTTACGTTTTTACAACCCCATTTCAATTCAGGTATTTGCATTAAATATGCAACAAAAATTATAAAAGGGGATACAAGAGACGATTTAAATAATGTCAACACTTGCCAGATTTAAAAATAAATATTTTCTTCATTCGTTACAAGCTCATGTATTTCATATTTATTTAAAATTATATTTTAATATATCAAATTTTTTAGTATGGCTACCATATGATAAAATGATAACTCTGACATTTCGGACAACAGGGAGGACTTTCATACTTTGTAAATTAAACTAAAATATCAAACGTGTGATTTAATTAAAAATGTAAAATGCGCAACTTTTAAAAAGGGTTTAAAAGATGCGCAGGCGAAAAACGTAATATGGGACTAAGTAATAAAGATAAATTTGAATGCAGTAAACCACTCACAGAAAAATCATTGAATATTCAAAAACAGGACAACACTAAGCAACTTGCAGGAAAATTACACATTTAATTTGAGATATTTTAAACACATTATATCACTTATCTTTATATAAGAGCATGGCAATTTTTTTTCATCCACAAGTGTAAAGATAAGGAAATTTATCCACATAGTTTATTAAAATTTCCTCGGTTCTATTAAATATCATTAAATCTGAACTTTAATTTCATTGTTTTGTCTTCCTCAAAATATAAGTCAATGTATTGAATAAAAAGTATTTATCTTAATCTTTTATAACTCTATTTTATCTCTAGCTTGTATACTGAAAGATTCTGAGCTTTCATCATGTTCCATTTGAGCCCTAAATGATCTTAGTAATTTTGTTTCTGTTCTTATTTAACAAAAGTTCTTTTTTGAGGCGTACAAAGAATAATATTTCAGACGGAATCTCACGAAATATTTGTAATTCAAAAATCCTTATCCTTCTATACATATGAATTATTGCTGGTGTAATTTTAAATAATTGCATTCATTGAAGATTTTATTTAATATACTCTTTTCTTTAATTTAAAATCTGTATTTCCTTTCACCTCATTTCATCCTTATCATTTCCAGAACTTCCATTTGGTTTGTTTAGATCTGTTGATTACAATGCAGCGTTTCGACACTTTAATACTCATATGTCTTCAGGTTTATATTTTCTAAACTTTGCTAATTTAAAAGCAGATATATCAAATATTTTCTATAACATTTTTGTAAAAAATATTTGCTTAGTTCTGAGAAATTTGATCTATGAGTTGATCTACTAGAAATAAACGAGTTTGCTTTTCCTCCATTTATCTATCCATGTTTTTTATCTGACAAAATTATCTGACAAATGTTACTGTTTCCTCTTGAAATAAATGAACTCCAGTTTGCTGAGAGAATAAGAAAATTAGCAACTGTTATTTAATTGGTAAATAAAGATTTAAAATTAGATAGGTGAGAATGAGAAACCAGACGGTAGAAATATGAAACTGAAACTACAAGAATAATAAAATATTGTTAATTTTAGTTAAGAACGTCAACTATTGAAACGCCTTTCCGTTTATCAACTTCCTTTCAAACCAATTAACTATAACAGATCGAAAATTTGCAAAGTGAGTTAATCCTCATAACAGGTTCATGTGTAGAAAATTTCCAAATAAGGAAGATCCTCAAAATTGTAATAGTGAAATCAAATATATGTCTTTAGTCTGAATAGTGAAGAAACTGAAATTAGGTATTACATTAATCAAGAGAAGAATTTTGAATTTTTATAGTACCTCTTCATAAAATTTATAGAAAATATTTTAATGCTCTTTAAGCTACATGCTTCAATTTCGACTTTTGGTAGAATATGAAGAAACGCTGTGAATATAAAATCTGGAGCTGTAAGATTTGTAAATATCGTTCTAGTATCAAAGCTGAGTTCATAAACCGATTTTTCATCTTGTCTGTTATTTACAATGATTTAATGGATTGCGTCCAGAAAAATTTCTTGAAATCCTTTCCCATTTTCTAATTACCATTAAGTAACATTAATGTAACGTACTGAAGATACTGGACCTTGAAATCACTTTTCCTATCTTCTGATAAATTACTTGAATTCTATTTTACCTTGAATACTTTAATCTTTGGAACAATTTTGATTTACTACGGATTAATCTTACTAGAAACTTAATTTCAAGAATTTGTTTAATTCTCTGGGTTTCCTCTTCTTCCCAATCTCATAAGCTTGGTTGCCACTGGATTAGCTGTGTTCCATTATACATTTACTGCCGCTTTCTCATTAACTCGATAGCAGTTAGATGAACTTGATTATAGTTGGATCTTTACTTTATATCCAGATCACATCACATATGTAATCTGGATCTCCTGTGGCTTGAATTGTAACTGGATTGAGAATAATTCATTCGCATAATCTTTCCTTGAAGCGCTTTCAATTAAAACTAGGGTAACGTAATATGCCTTATATGGTGAATTGCAGACGCTATAGATAATGATTCTAGACATGATTTCTTTTATCAAAACGTTAGTTATTATTTTGAAATTTTAACTTGTGGAAAATTCATTTTATGAATTTCTTTAAACGGATCCTGAGAGCAATAAGTAAATCGTACAGAATTAAAATATATAATGGTATTCATTTTTTGAAACGGAGCATAATATGATTGAAATTGATATAATTGAAATATATAGACTTAATCGCACAAGGAGATCTAAATTTTTATGCTTTAAGTTAGAAGCTTCTGTCGCATAAGCTTCAAACTAAAATTTTATGTTTTGAATTCTAAGGAAAGTGTAAATCTATTCCAAATAATGCTTCATAGTTTACTGCATTCAAAATAGTCTTCTTTTGATAAAATCATTTTAGAAAACTTATAGTAGTTGTCTGTTAAGTTACAGAACTTTTATTACAAATTCGTTATTTTGCATTGCGATATTTTAAGAATAAATCAAATAATTTTGTATAGATCTTAACTCAAGAAGACTGGAATATTGTCTTATTCAACGGAATGGAAAGGACGTCTCACTGGGCTGCTTTGTACTTCGTAGCGCTCATGACATTCGGAAACTACGTTCTTTTCAATCTACTGGTTGCTATCCTAGTGGAAGGCTTCTCTGCAGAGGTGAGTAAATCTTATAAGAAGAACAATATTTCATGTTCTTACTGTTTATTTCTTAAGTAAGTTTGTGTGTCTCTTTATCTATCTATATTCATATCGATATCTATCTATCTATCTATATATATATATATATAATATTTACTAAAAAAATATTGATTAATTGATTATATTATCTCTTAAGTTAAATTTTAGTAGGATTATCTTAAAAGAGTAAATCCATATTAGTAAGTTATATTTTGAAAGATGTTTTGAAGAAACTGGAAAGTAAAATGTTAAAAATGTTTTAACGGGAACTGGAATTAAATCATGAATAACAAAATTTTAATTGTAAAAGAAATAAATTAAAGGCAAGAATTAAATTAAATGCATGTAATCATTGTCATTGATCGGAAATTAGTTGACTTCTCAAGGGGAACAAACCAACTCCCGTTCAATGAACAATAATTAATAAATAAATACGAGGGTGTTTCGTCTTCACCCGAGCAATAAGGCTAAGGCAAATCGGCAATTCAAGTCAGGCCAAATATTTCCGTGAATAGAAGGGATTATGAACCAATGCTGATATTCAAAGAACTAGATACTAGATAGTTTACTTTTTCATCTTTGTGCATAATAATACTTTTCTCTCACGTATAAACACATTTGATACTTTCATATGCAATTTGATGCTAATCAGAGCTTTACATTCCCATTTTGGATGATTTTACTGTCTCTACTTTAACTTTGGAAGCCAGTATAGTTAGAAAAAATTTCTTTCAAACAAAAATTAAATAAACAAGAAATTAAACCCCAAATTGCGTTTAGAATTCGCCATATCAATTCCTGAAATGATATAACGCTTAGGATTATTCATATTTTTTAACAAAAAGGAAATTTGGAAATTTTAAATTTGGAAGTTTTACTTATAAAACTTCCAAATGGTGTATGTTCATTAAGATAATAAAAAACTCGCAGATTTGTTAATATTAGTTGTAAGTCCGAAAAAGTGTTATTTTTTATGTTAACTTAAATTAATAATTTAATAAGCAATAAAAATAATGTATGTTATTACCTCATTATATTATAACCCCATCGTATTGGATCATTAAATTGAGCATTACATTAGGATTACAGAAGCACTATGTTGCATCAAATGTAGAGAGAGAAAACAAATATGAGCTTTTAAACGTAGGTATCTGATAAATCCATTGATATGAAAATCAGAGGCGAAAGGGAAGAATTTTTCAGCAGAAGCATAAAAAAATAACGAAAATCATTACAAATACATTTCAGATGATAATTATATATCTTTTTGCATCACAAGAGAGTGGAACATTAAAAACAAGTTGGTCGGACACATAAGTTTGCGAACCGAGGTTTTTCGAGTGCAAAGGCTCGTAATTAAGCGATTCGTTTCAGGAGCAAAATTCCATAGATTCAGAAATGGGTATTTCATCTTCAAATTAGCAGATTCAAAATATATCAAAAAAGTTACGGTGAGACCGATTATGGCGTGGCTGAGTTCTCGTGACACGAAAGAACTGCAAACGTCAAACATATGCATCATATAAAGTAAATAAAACATTTTCATTATTTATTCTTATTAAACATATTGAAAACATATTTATTACATATAATAAACTTAATAATAAAGCTTAATTAAGTCACTTAAGCGTTCAGTTTGAAAATTTACAAATTCTTTGAAGTGTACCTCGTGAATAGAAAAATTTAAGGAGGCATTGTATAAATATAATTGTATGCACGTGGATAAACGAGGAAGGAACAGAATACTATAAAAGATTGAATACCATTTCTATAGTAAAGCAATGACATTCTGATAATATAGTATCAAGCTTTGAACTGTCTTTTCGCCTGTTCTTCAAAAATTGTCTTCATAACAAGTGTAAATATTAATTTAATTTAGAATATTAATATATTCTAACATTTGTTATTAGAATTTTCGAAATTCCTTTGTTTGTGATCGCCTTATGCTTGTACGCCAATCTTATTTTATTATCTATTTTTATCTACACCGAAAAGTAGTATATTTTGTATTGTTTCATCGCGCAGCTGTTTTGTATTGTTTCATCGCGCAAATCAGTTCTAAACAAAAATTAAACAAATATCTTCCAAGTGTCTACCGCATATCTAAGTCTATGATGGGATATTTATTACGTCTACTATTCACATCTATTATGGGATATTAGTTATGTTTTTATTTAACATTAATGGCATTTTAATGCAATCACTTTCGATTATGCGTTTCGGGTACTCCTAAAATATTTATTTCTGTGAGTCTGAAACGCTTTCATTTTTTTCCTTAATCTAGTAATAGGTTATATGCACTTACAATATGATTAAACTTCCTCATTAATCTTAACAAATGATTTACTAATAATATTAAAGGAAAATTATAAATCTAAGAATTCATTCTTTGTCCTGATTTTATATCAATGGATGAAAGCATTATTTGTTTAATCTGGTTTCGATTTTCACTTTCGTTGTTATCAAATTGTTTTTCAGGATGAAAGGAAAAGGAGTGACGAATCTATTGATCATGAAGAAGAGCATAAGCAGGTCAAAAAGACGAAATCCCCCAGAAAAGAATCATCTCGGCATGGTATGCTAAAACTTTAGATTTTTCCCGCTTTGTAATATACATACACTTACTTGTCGAATTACTTTTCCTCATATGAGTATACATATCCAGTATACATGTTTATATGCATATCATATACATATTACCATATACATATATGTAAGAAAAATAAAGAATATGTAAAAGATTAAATTAGCAATGTAAATTTCCCTTCGTAATTCTAAAAATAGTAGCCTCTCTCTGCACTGCGTCATTTCTAGATTAATCCATGTCATATTAGTCTTACATAATTCCTGGTGATGAAATGGAACTAAAACTCAGGCAGCCAATAGTAATTTTACAGCAATATTAACTATCCAATCAAAATGCATTTGTAGCCAAAACTAACTCAGTTTGTCTTAAGATTTCATCCTGAACATTGTTGCACTTGCTTTATACGCTTTGGCCTGGCTGGACTGCTACTGTCTGCTCCTTATTTCTTACTGCAGATTTATCTCAAATGTAAAAATTCCCGATATAGACACGATTAATGTGCCAACTTGATTGTGGCCGCAACATGTTTGCTGAAATAAAAAATTAAAATTTAATCTGCCTTCATCTCTAATTTTCTATTCATTATTGATCAACACTTTTACGCCACCAAAATTCCTCCTGGTCATTACTTCTGACTTTGTTTTTATTACATATATATATCCAGTATACATATTTGACGAATTGTAAAATATGATCAAATAAAATTTCCTTCATTTATTAGCATTTTGAAAACTACTGATTTTACCTTGAAAAAATTTAATTCATCTACTACATAACTTTGTGTCTGAATAAAACCTAAATTTCTAAAAATCCAAGGGAATAATTTATCTTCCTCAAACTATTGCATTCATATTGATCAAAGACTTAGTTCAAAAAATTATATTGTTATTAAATATATACATATAGTATTATTAATATCAATATATTTATACAAGTCATATTTACATAATTATAATTGTAAGGTACATTAAGTTTATTATTGGATAACATAATACATTCAATTATTAGATACACAGTATCTCTAATACAATTTTGAGAATATTATTTTCATGTGTAGGCAGCATTTATCCCTCCCTTTTCCTTTCGGAAGGTAGAACATTTTCGGGAGTGAGAAGTTTGGTTCTTATTGCAATGCAAAGGTTGTGATGACCCCTTTACATTATCATGACTTCGTGGTAAATACCACTTTCTTATAGAAACCACATTAGAAATATTTTCGTAAACTATTGTTTCAAAACAAAAAGTTTCAAATACCCAGAATATTTCAGAATTTCGAACTATTTTTAATTCCTAACTAAAATATTTTTCATCAACATTATCTGAATCCTTTTCAAATCATAGTGTAACATTTTTATTGTTGTTTTCTTTCTAAAGATTTTAAACTTTTTGTATGGATTTGAGTGCACCGTTTGGAAAAAAAAAACTTGAAATGTTCAACAGGACTGAAGTTGCTTAAAACAAAATTGTTATTTTATAGGCGAAGCTGTTATTTTATAGGAAAAAGTGGTTATTTTATATGAAAAAGTTGTTATTTTATAGGAAAGCATATATCTGATTACATTCCGGTAAAATTTTCATATGAAGAATTATGAATGCTATATACATATGCATCGGGTTTAGAAAATATTTTTAACTTAATTTATATAAAACAAAAAAAAGTTCTGCAAATATGTAGGAATGATAGATGCTCATATGAACTTCATATTCATCTCTAGAAGAATATCTTTATCGAAACAGAAACCAGTTAAAAATTAATTCATTAAATTTTCTAAAGATGGTCCATTATCTGAACTTTAATAATTATCATTTATTTGATCGAGAATTCTTTATGGCGTTAAACCCTCATAGTAAACTATCCACAGAATTTTTATGAACGATTGTGATACTTTACTTACACTATAATGAGTATTTTAAATAATTTGTATCTATATAATATAACAGATATGTGGCCACAAACATTTGTGGTGGAAACCAATAGTATTTTATTGAAAGACATATGCAGTCTTACAATAACTTCCTTTATTAGATACGGAGAATGATTTCCGGATGGTCTCATTTTCATTGAATTACAACAAATATCTACAGACTCAGGGTTCTCTTTCGTAGCATATACTATACACTCTACCTAGAAGACGAAGTAGCGAATTCTCGCTATGTCTTGAAGAATAAATACTACAGAAGAAGGTTTTAAATAACGTTCTTATTTAAATTAAATTAAAACAGATGCACGCACTTTGTGCTCACAAATCAACACCACCTGTGGCTAACGTAAATTTAACAGAAAATAAGAATGTAACAAATCACTAATAAATTGAGATATCTAACTACTGGCTCCTTAGCTTAACCAAATGCTAATACGGCTCCTCACAGCAAAGCCGAGCCTAGAAATATCATTATAAACTGAAAGGTGTCTAACACCGACTAGAGAGCTAATTTCAAACACGCAGCATAACCATCGGAACTAAGTCCGCTACTACTCTTTTCGAATTAATAAAACGCAGCGTAAATACTGTTTCTGAAATATGTTTAGATTTGCATCTACTTCATTACAAAATTTACATTCCGGCAGGAAACTGAAATCAGGAGGGAACGGAAAAATAAACTAAAAATAATTGGTTAGAATAAGATGATAAGTCCTTACAGTATAAGTATATAAGAAGAGGAAAGTAATTCTCGCTTCATCTATAGCAAAAGCATTTATAGCAAAAGATCTAATTTTCTTAAAACTTTCAGTTATTTTTATTGCCCTCCAACCTATAAAAACTATTTATTAATGTGTCATTTAGGATTTTAAAACTTCAAAATGTTTAACAGCTACTCATAAAATTGAATCAAATATTTATTTTTTTGTTAAATTTATACAGAGGGAGTTTGCGCAATTCTAGAACAATTTCAGGGCCGTTAAGTTAATGTTGAAAATGTAAAGAATATTTTTTTAATGTTTGATCTAATAGCCTTTTTTCTGGACTATACATCTTCGTCATGATTTCCATAATAGAGGGACTTTCTGTAAAATTTCCAGGGTATTGATTTCCAATCCTCTTCACCACTTTCCAGACTCCACCAATCATGGTGGGTTTGCTCTTGGAAAGAGCTCATTTCTAGACACCAGAGGCGCAGTAGTCCCTATATGAAATATGAGAGGACTTTGTAAGAAGACGCTGAAAAAGCATATCTGCAGCACTTGTATCAGCTTCGAAGAAAACAGTAGCGCATTTCAGAGTAGGACTTTTTGCTTTGTTTTGCTGAAATTTTACTATCTGAAAGTCATTAGGATGAAGAAATAGAATTTCTTCTATAAGTATCGGGTGTAAAACTTTCTCTTGGTAGCACGTTGGGTTGATTTTATCATTTTTTCCACTCTTCTTATTTTAATTTATCATTGTGAAAAATCTTGCTACAATCATAAACCCCTTGCTGAAACTTTCTCTGCATAGACGAAACCAGGTCGGTACATTTGTTTCTTTTCGTTTTCGATAACCACGGTTTTCGTTTTCGATAACCACCTTGTGACCACGATTCAAAAACAGAAATAATGCAAGTATCTTGAAGTAATATAATTTTTACAAATCCGAAGGAATTTCAAGCACTACCTCAGAATTGGTCTTTTAAATGTGAGGTAAAGTTTTCGTTTTGCCCCACAGCTAATTAGCGATTCTGTTCTTTTCTGTGATGGCATCGAGAATGTCAGTTGTAAGAGTGCTTCAATTGTTATTCATTTTTATTTGTTTTTACCATGAGTAAGTTACTATGTTTAAATCTATATACGAAAAATTTACTTTTGATCCGCATATTTTTGAGGCAGTCAATGAAGGAATGGATTTCCAGAAGGAAGGTTGAAGCCTGCTCTCTGCTGATTGACTGCTGGAGTTTGCCAGTGGTGTCGGCCGTTTGAGTGCCGTGTAGAGCTGGAAATTGCTGATCTGTGTTTTAGTGGGGTTTCCGTCTTTGATGATCTCTGATGTTCTTTTCGTAAACTTGTTGGTACCGTGGACCCTAAGATAAGAGATCAGCTATAAGATGTCATATGGTCCGTTCCATAAAGAATGACTTGTCCGGTATGCTTTTGTCCTTGTCACAATCATTTGTTAAATGGTTTTGAACGCATTTCAATCAATGTATTTTATGGTGGCAGTGGACCTTATTGTGCCGTAATGTTGAGAGTTATAGAACTGACACGTCGACAGTTGAGCCCGGAGTGGTTTTAAATTGCTTAATATATATATATATATATATAGTTAGTTAGTTAGATTCATCAAATTTGTAAGACTGTTGTTACAATAAATGTGTGCCAATAAGTTAAGAGCACCAATTTTTTTTTTCGGGGGGGGGGAGCATCCAATTCTGCAGTTCGAGTGATTGTTTCAACAACTGATTTGTATGTGCTATGTAAGACTTACTTGCTTTAAATTTGCCATGCTGAAGTGGATTGAGTACGCTGGGACGCAGAGTGCAAGCACATTTTTCAGTTCATATTGACACTTGATTTGTAAAACATCAAAGCCTACGATTGGTAATTTCATCAAATGGTTGAAAGGTCTCTGTGGTCGAGAATCCATGTTATGTGATAGTAGATTTCATGCCCCTCTAAGGACTATACCCCGATGCGAGAAACAAATCACAGGAGCATTAAAAGTCTTTAATCATTGAACAATAAAAAGTTAAAATTCAATTTATAATTTTATTCATCTATATATGATGATCAATTTCTGACATCGAAATAAATGTTTGTAAAATTAAGAGTTATGAGATATGTTGTGAGAGCAGAAACATTCAAAGTTAACAAACATTCATCCCTTTCTGAAATGGAAGCATTTTTATTATTTTTTCATTAAAATAGAATATAAATATAAAACTATTAATATTAATATTCTGCATTTAAATTGTCTCATTTCTTTCAATCAAAGCCTTAAATCTTTAAGTTATAGCGCATTTATTCCAAGTATATGGCAAAAGGGTATGAAATCTTACGTGCTGCCATTTTTTGCTGAAGAATTTGATTCACTGTTAGCCCATATGTAAACAGAAGACTGCTACTTAAAATGTCTTCCCCGAGAACAGAAAAACATTTTACCCACTTTAGAGCATATTAATCCACCTTTAAATCAGCAAAGTATTGGATCTTCCCCATCGAATATTGCGTTTCTCTGTATGTTACATCATGCATGGTATTTTCCTGAGAATGAAAAGTTATTAATGACTTCTCTTTCAGAAACCATTACTTTTGCTACAAAAATAACATAATTTGTTCTTTGCTTAGGCCGTCATTCGAGATACTCACCAGAGAACGGGCCAAATCACGGTCAAGAAGCTGTGCGTTCTCCCCCCATCATAACGCACACGGCAGCTACCCCTCAGGGTTCTCCCAACAACACTCTAGAGCCCTTAATGAGGGATCTTAAGGACAGATTGACTCCGCTAATGGCTTTCAGCGTCCCAGGGCAGTCTTTCGAATCTATAGATAAAACCTCGGTAAGTTCGTTCTTGCATGTATTTTCCAAAAGCTAATGTTAAGCTTCATTTATTACGTAATTCGTAGATGGATTAGTGAATAGTTACGTGAAAGTAATTGCAGTAGTTTCCCCTTTTTATTCATTATTTTTGCTCAGCAATTAATTTTAGATAAAATAAATAAACAAATTTTGAGCAACTTTTTGACTAATGATTTTGATAGCAAAGTTTAAGCGATGACTTAATTTTTTAAATACAGCGATGAAAATTTAGAAGAAATATTGAAATTAGAACAAATTTGAATTTAGATTAATAATAAATTAGGCAATGAAAATTTTTATCAGACTCGAATATTTTATGCATATAAGATATGAGGGGACGAAAAATCGTATTTTACTTGAGAATCGATCCATAAATGCTTGTACGATTCTTAAACTATGCAAAATGTATATTGAATGAATGTTGTTGAACTTTATTTAACATCAGTTATCCACTACTTGTTACGTTGTATTATACGTAACAAAGATACAAACTGTTTGTCAGAAGATTTGTCATATGAATCCATATTCAGTTCATTTCAAATTGATGGACTAATTAGAGCTCAGTAGCATAATACATAAAATACCAGTAACAGAACCTCAATATATGTAACCTCAATATACTTTTCAAGTTATTGTCCTTATCTGGGGGTCATTTTTCAAGTTCTGCTAAAGAGCAGTCAATATAAACCACACTTTAATCTAATCTACTAGAGAAGTACTTCTATATCTTTTAAGAAAGATCGCAGTGGGTTATAATTATCAGCCGCAAAGATCGTTTTCAGCTATCAACAAGAATGGTCTAAACTTTCGCTGTCTTAAAATCGCAGTTTTGTTTGATTTTCTAATTCTGTTTAAGCTAGCGGCTTCTGCTAATGCTTTTATTACACGCTAATAAAGAATATTGATGTGAAATCTTTTTTTTTTTTTTTTTTTTTTTTTTTTCTTTAGAGATTTAAATCGATTATCTGGCAGATCTTGACTACAAATTTGCAGGGAATTTTATGTTTATAGACAGTTATTTATAATTTCAGTCTTTAGTATAACTTCTCCTTCCCATATATTTCACCAGAATGCAAATCAGTAGTGACTGTTTAAAATGAGATTTTTTTTATTTGACTCAGAGAGTTTTTGTGGCATCGCGTGCATTCCAAATGATTAATTTCCTGACAGATCTCATATTTGTAATTAGTTGACTCTGCAATCTCGCTGCCAACACTTAGTTCTGACGTTCCGGTAGAATTCGTGAGTCAACTTCTAGTAGTATTTAATTTTTTACCAGTATTCAAAGTTTGATTTAAATTGGACTATTCGCTTTATTTGTGTCGCCATGAGTTGCGGTCATTGTAACAAAAGATGTTGCACTTGTGTTCGAAATTCTGTTTAAATAGAAAGGTTATTTTAACCTTCTCAAGATCAGTTTTCTGAGACACAGCTTTAATTTGACATGGCGATAATATTCGCTTCGTATGTTAGACTTATTGGAGCAAAATAATATTGATAGACCAAGTGTAACCCTATTATGTAGCGGCCGAAAAAAAATACAGTTCGAAGTAACGAGAGTTATCGCTGCCCAAGGCAAACAGTGCGAATGCGTAGGGAAAGTGACTTTAAATGTCCAGGTGAAAAATGAGCACCAGAAGGTGGTTTTCTTTGTTTTGAAAAGTCGAGAGGCTCTTATAATTTTGGGGATATATTTTTTAAAGTCTGAGAAAACAAAATATATTTTTAGGGAGCTATTGTGCAGTTGAAAATGAATAAGTTGGTGAAAAACGAAAGTCTAGCCGTCGGCTTTGGACTGGAAGGAATCGTACACTAAAAGCTAAGCTGAGAATCTAAGATTCCCAAAGTGTACAGTGATTAAAAGCATCGTAAACATCAAATATCGACGAGATCATCAGTTCTGTCTTCCTCCAGGTAAGCCAAGAATTGATCTGAATCGATGGAAATAAAGACTTAGGGGTCCCAAGATTAAATCCCTGGCGGTGGGGAAAAATTAGCTCTAAAGGTATGTATATATATATAGTTAAAGTTAAGCCCACCATCGGAAGAAGGCTTTTTGCTAAATTTTTTGAAACTATTATTTTACAGTTTACTTTTTAAATTATAATTTTCAGTAAATTCTTCTGTTGCTTCATTTAAAGTATTTCTTTTTCTCCCATAAAATTAAGTAAAATCTGTATTCTTTTTTAAGATTATTTCTTAATGTCCAGCTACTCTCCTCTATCTAAAGGTGAAAGTCTTTCTGCTAGATTCTTTGGTTGTACCCTTAAAAAAGTACTCGTTTTACTTCCACATTCGGCACAATTTCTTTTTCCCATTATTTTTTCATTTTTTGAAACTTTTTCATGATAATGTTTAGCTTCTGTTTTCGTATTACATGAGAGACAGTGAATCAACATTAGTATACTAACATTCTTTTTAGTTTTTATAAAAGGTTTAATAATAATTCTGCCTATTCCTTCTTCTATACTTGGATTTTCGATCGCATCTAAATCATCTAGCAATTCTTGGTCTGCTATATGACTTAATTTTGTATCTTTTATTTTACTATATTTTATATCATGTTGTTTACAAGCTTTATCGTCTCTATTTACTTCAGGATCTAATCTTTTTTCTAGTTTTGTTAAAGGCCCGCAATACTGATGACATCCTGGATCCATTTCCGGAGGATTTATTTTTTCTTGCAACCATCCTACAGTATTGCGCCTTTTTTAAGACTATTAAACTTTATCCATTCATTTCTTTAAAAATATATTTTTTTTTACAAACCACTTATTTAGGATGAAAATTTTATGACTTAAGGATGGTATTTCTAACATTCAATTGCAACAGCATTAAATTTTAAATTTTTTATGAAATCTTTTTTCTCTTTTATATAATTCTTCTTCAGAAATTTCTTTGGCTTTAAATGAATTAAGTTCTTTATAAAATTTTAAACGATGTCTATTGTAATGCCCATAGCCGCAGGAGAAGGAAAAGCCTGGCCGGAAAAAATAATGAGTCCGATGTGACGATCACTGGCTAACGCCAGGTGGTTTGTTGGATGGAAGTAATAAAAAAAAAAAAAAAAAAAAAAAAAAAAAAAAAAAAAAATTAGAGAAGAGGAACGAGGAGGCCAGTGGGGTAAAGGGGACTTTTGGACCCTGGATGTCAGACGGGACGGTCCGAATTTTTTGTGGCTGAAGGGCCATCGCCTTTTTTTTTTTTTTTTTTTTTTTTTTTTTATGCAGAGATTGTTTTTTCATCCGGCGGATACAATGCCGGAATTACCTATTCATGACTGTACCTGTAATATATAATAAACAAGAATTGTTTACTTAATAAAGTTTATTGTTGAACAAACGATAAAAGGATGTCATCTATGCCTCGATCTACAGTAACATGTGTAAAGGAAATGCACCTCAAGCTACGGATAATACAATAATTCTTATTTCCATCGGCACGACTACGGCAGTCCACTACATCTATATTCTTCTTTTCTCTCATCTATTTTTAGAACAAAATCAACAGCTTCTAATATTTCAACTGATAAGTTTAATGACGCCAGCGAGAGAAACGCAGTTGCTGATAAGCCTGAACTACACATGACAACTGTGACAAGCAGGCCCGAGCTAAGCCTAATCGGCGCCCTCGTACAAATGTCTAGCGATCGCCTTTATGTAGTGACGATATTAAAGGGACATCTCTTATGGTTTACATTTAAAATGAAGCATTGTTAACATATTAATATGAAAAACCAAGAAAATTACATTTTGTCTTTTGCCTAAATGTGCAAACATTTTGTGCTTTGTTAAAAACCACACTCAAACATAGTTATTGAAGAATTATACATACATTTATCTACCACCGAACTGACATACTGCCGTGCCGAAGGGCTCGGGTTTGAATCCCAGAGATGACATGGATGTTTGTAAATGTATAGTGTGCGTGCAGCATGGGGGCACTCCAAATATGCGAGGGGAAAGTCCTCGAAAGGTTGGTGGAGAAGAAGGGTGAGAAACGCTCGAACCCGTCTTCCCCCAGGGCGCTCTCAATCAAAATAGGGGGCAAAACAGAGCTAATTCGCATTGTCACCTGTAAGGTGCTCAAGGCTGTTGCCAACGACAGGCGTATCTTGCGCCCCTCGCTACGAGAAATTTCGGGGGCTTGGGTCAGACAAGTGAGCATTAGTCAACAACAACAACATGTTATAAAAAAGTAACACTGCAAGCAAAGCGAAATAATACTCTAAACGTATTGGATACCAAATATATTGTTGAACACTATTTATTATCTTAAAATTAAAAAAAAATTAATATACATATCTAATAAAGTTTCACTGAATAAATTGCTGTTCGCAGTGTAGTTTACGACAAGGATCAAACTGTGGTTACAACAGGGCACAAAAAATGCTCTAGGGCTGATATCTAATACATAATTTGAATTTAATTCATTTGCTTTAATAAACAAAAAAGTACTACCACCTCTTTGAGTTATTTGGTATTGTTCTAATAATTCATATTATTTTCCAAGCAATGGTTTAAGATATACTATTTTTTCAGAAGTAAGGTAAAATATTTCAAACAGTGACTTTCCGAGTGTTTTTAAGGAAGAAGTGTTTTACGCAATAGTTCTTATAATAGTTATTTTCTACTTTTATTTTTACTTCCACTTTTTCTGTTTTCTTTTTTCCCTGGATGTCGGAAGAAAATCAGGAGAAAACTGTTTGAGTATCAGAATGTATGAAGAAAAAGAAGGTGAGAGGAAAACTTAAGCCAGAACTTTAAAATTACTCAAGTTTTTCCAAAACCCAAAGAATATTTAAGCGAACGCTACTAGCACTAATTATTAATCAACATCTCAGCTACCACTGAAATTACCAAAACAGCCTAATAATCAGAAAGAGTTTAGAAAGTGTTTTCACCCGGGAATTACATTTAACTTCAATGCAGCTGGTCGGAAAAAACAGAAGAAATACTGTTGAAACCTACAATTTCTGCA